GAGTATGAGAACTCCTTGTTGATCGCGTTCAATGGACTCGTTCTCTATTGAGCACCTACATGCTTGTCTTGGTGTTAGTCACACCAATGACTCTTGACTAGTCACTATCTCTAAAAGAAGACATAGCACGTACTGATCTTAACGAATTGTCAATGCCCAATTAGTAATCCTATGATCAGGAACGTTTAGGATATGTATACGAAAGAGAATAGTCTCATGAATCTAACTTCTTTAGATCATATTCTCCCAATTACATATTCCTGAGACTTATCATTTAAGCATATAACATTTATATGAGACGACTTTAAACAATAATTTTTGTCCTTTATATTAAACTAGATTAGTTTAATATATGAAATGTCTGTAAAGTATCATCATATGATTAGCTTTAGGTTACTTTTCCAACAGAAGCTTCATCCACTGTCGACATGCTACGCAGTCAATGGGCTTCATTTTTGCCAAAGTGTGGAACAACCTACACCAAGTCCTAACATGTTGTGATACTTGCTACACAACCTATGAAATTGAAGAAAGCCAAGATTAACAGCTTAGTGGTCATGTAGACTAGTCTACTTTTGTAAGTAAAGAGTCTGGCTGCCAACCCTATGGCTAAAACTTTTCAAAGTTCTACACCAACACCTACGGCTACATAGGCTACGCAGGCCTGTATAGCATGCTTGCCACTGGCCTATAAAGTCTAGAAGTTAAGGCATGAACAAAAGAAGTGAAGATAGAGAAAAATGAAGGAAGCAAGTTTATTAAATTTTCTAGCAAAATTGATAAACAACTAGCAAAGGCCGAAGTAGTTCAAGCAAAACATTAAGCAAAAGAAATCCTAAAGACTACTTATAAGACTACTCTTCAGCAGCTTGAACATCCCACAACTACTTAGTTGCTACACTTTCGACAACCGCGACATCCTCAACAGTGGCACCATTCGGCGCTTCACCCCCGACTGCTTAAGCCTAGGCATCAACCTCTTCGACTACTTCACCAATGAAAGCCTCGAAAGTAAAGGCAAGCAAGTCTTTTGGAGAAATGGAGAAGGTCTTAAAGTCTTTACCAACAAACTCAAAGTCAGATGGCCTCCCAAAGAGATGGTCTACATAACCCAGCTTGTAGAAATTGGCTTTACTCTGAGTAAATGAAGCATCAAACCCGCCCTTTTCACCTTTCAACTATTCATTCTCCTTGAGCAGACCAACACGGACCCGCTGCAGCTCCTCCACTTCATTCTTCAGACTGTTGTTAATCTTTAAAGCACCTTGGAATTCCAACACTTGAGGTTTAAGCCTGTCAACGACCTTTTTGAAGTGGATCACTTAGTTGTAAGAAATGATCAGTTCTTCGTCCTTTGCGTAAACAGTAGAGCGGAACTCAGAGATGGCATACTCAATATCTTGAATCTGAGGTATGTAATGCCCGATCTCCTTCTCTGTACTTTCATACTTTACTTGGATCACGCCAAGCCTAGTTTTCAAATCCATAATCTCTTAGCCAGCGGTCTCAAGCTGCAGGGAATTGGGGGTAGAGATATTAGACCCCTTCAAGGCAGCAAGCTCGTATTCCAACTTCTTGACTTTCTCAGTTAATGAGCAAGCTTCGGCTGCCACAGTTCTTGCCACATCCTTGGCAACCTTGGTATTCTCTTGATCAAGGAACATAGATTCGGTTGCTATAATCACCCTTTTCTGCATCATAGCCAGCAGAGTCGTCCTCCTACACTTGGTCGTATGCTTCGCATAGGAAGTTGGGCTAACGGCCCCTTTGACGCCATCAACAAACTTGGCACACACATCCATGTTCTCGAGCAGATTTGGTCTTAGGAGCGCACAAATCTCAGCAGCTTCTCCAGAAACAGACTTGGTGGATTTCTCACAATTGCTTGCATGAGCAGTCTCTTTCTTCTTAGCAGGCGAATCAGTCCCGGCAACAAGGGGACAGGGTTTTGGCGTCACTTTGGTAGCAAAATTCACTTTATCGCTCTATATAGGAGCAAGTCTTTTCGAAGATGAACCAGACTTAGCCCCTGACGGAAGTTTAGGCATAAATTTCGACACTAGGGACACGACGAAATTTCTACGTTAAGCAATCCTGTCAGCAATCGAACTAGTCACCTTCGGAACGGCAGACATCATTAGCACAGATCTAGCAGCCTCCTCTTTCTCGCTCTTGGAGGAAGTTAAGTGACACACCCCGACCCTGAATGTCTACTTGGGCTCCAAATCAGAGTGGTGCAGCGGAAGCGTGATATCGGCCCAAGCTAGCACAACTCGATTCGGTGTCCAAGTGGACATTCCGGGTCGGGGTGTGTCATTAAGTCAATCACGAGCTTGGGGGCAGTCGGTGAACCTTAGTGAGCAGTGAAAGAAGTCCTAGGCTTTTTCTCAGCCGACATCTCTTGAGCAGGCGGGGAAGATTACTTTTTCCCACGTTCATTTGCAGTAGGCTCCACAACGGTGATTGGATGAGCCAATGCTTCAACCTTGATTCTCTTTACCTCTTCCTTCGGGGGCAACCCACATTTTTCCCGATGAAGAGGACTAAGCAACCAACGCCATTCCCGGTACTCGAAGGGAATACCTAGTGCAATATGCACCTTCTTCATGTCTGGAGAATTTACTCAGAGGGAATACCTAGTGCAATATGCACCTTCTTCATGTCTAGAGAATTTTTGGGAGTCGAGCCAAATTCCAAATATACAAGAACAGAAGAAGACAATCAAAAAATTAGAGAGCAACTTAACAAAAGTACAAAGTAGTCGAGGGACTGAGCGGACTACTTAGCGGAGATGAAAACCATCGGAACACGTAGCTCAAGGGAAGAATCAGACTCATGTTTTCCACTTATCTCCAAAGTCTCCTTGGCCCAGTCATGATCTCCCTTGCTCGAATTGTTAAAGAGCTTATGGTAGGATCGCAGCTGCCCAACTCCCTCGATGTGGCTTATGTCAAAGAAGTACCAGAATTCGTTGACGGTCATGTCTAAGTCAAAAAATTGGCTTAGATTGAAGAACCCCACCATCACACAGACCTCGTTCGGAGAAAATTGAGTGAGGTCACACTTCATGGAATAAAGCAATTATTAGAAGAAACACGTTATAGGAAAAGTGAACCCCAACACAAAGTAGTAGAGGTGAAACTTGATGGCTCTCCGAGCCCCATTGCAAGGCTCATGGCTGCTACCATCCTTGACACGCTTCATACGCACTCCCGACAAAATAGCATGCCTATATGCCTCAAGGAAGTCTCTAAACAAGCCATCGGAGCTAATTTTAAAGTGAGAAGCCTTGAACTAGCCAACCTTGCTCAAAGACTCGCCTTGACGATACAATGGCGGCACACCATCATCATTCTTGTGGCTTGAGGAAGACATGCTTGAAGAAATTCTACAAAGATGCAAGGAAAATTCATTAGAAGGCTGCAAACAAAAAAAAAAAAAATGAAATGAAGCAGTCTTCGGTCCAATCAAGTGGGCCAAGCCCAGTGGCCCGCTACTCTCCCTCTCTCCTCTCATGCACGGGCGTCAGCCTAGCATTCAAACAAAAAAAAAAAAAAAAAACCCTACTCACGGCCTAAGCTGCAGAAGCCCAGCAACCATGCTAGGCCCCACGACCTGGCCAGATACTTCCTCAGCCCGCATGCCTCATGCCCCAAATAGAAGGAAAAGGGGCCAGTGCCCTGCTTTTCCACTCCTTTCGGCGGGCCGAAGTCCATTAATCCAGCCCAGCTTCCTGGCCCATGCCAGCCACACCAACCCTTGTCCTGAGCCGAGCCGAGCCTCCACCACACTGCATATTGCCACCCACGACAACAATGCAATGACATCTCCAAGCTCTTTTCACATGTCCTCGACCCCCGTCGAGCAAATTTTAAGCCCCAAGGCTCCCAAAAATTATGAAGACAAGGAAAATTAATTTTTTCTTACCTTGGAGCAGTGCGAAGATAAAGAAAGCAATGAAAGATGGTCCTTTGCACAGGCAAGTATACGAGATTGCTAGGACTCTAGCTCTCTCTCTTGTAGGGTAGAATAAATTGCTCTCTAAAGTTGATTTAATAATCTACTTAAGGTAGACTTAAATAGACTTTAGAAGTAATTTATTTCCCTTTCCTAGAAGTATCTAATTTCCTATTCAAGAGGGAATCTACATCAAAATAGGAAACAATCCTATGTTCCTAAAGCAAGAAGATCTTTACACCTGTTGCCTTTTCCTACGAGCAGCCCAATAGGCGTGGGGGCATTTGTGGAGCAAAAAATAATCAAGAAGAACATAGAGACGACACATGAATTTTTGGGTAAATAAGACAAAATTACCCTCGAGGCACACCGGAACTCCCATGGGCAAGCAACAGACAATCACGACTCAATTAAGGTCAAAAGTGATCAAAATAGGTATTTATTCAAAACCTATTTCATGCATCCTCATCAAATCTTCCTCACAAGGTAACCCTCAAATATTCATTCAAATTAGGATTAAATACCTAAATTAACTGATTAATTTCCTAATTAATTATCTAATTGATTGCAAATATTATTTTGACATAATATTTTGCAATTACACCAAAAAACCGCCATAAGTAGCCGGACTCATTTTCTCCAAATAACGGTGGGCCACACCCCTAAAATAGCTTCCATTTCTCCCAAAAACCTAATTCCAACTCTCTTGCAAAATTCTCCAAATTTCTTTAAATACTTTTCCTCAAATTCTAACTTTGGCATCGAAGGGTTTTCGGCCAAAGCCCCCCCTATATTCATCTTGGGTGTATGAGGCTCTTGATCTTGATTTAAGATGTTAATTGTTTTGTAGGTGCGATTTCGTCCAAAAAGAAGAATGCGGAAATTTGCATCCACATATGTAAATTGAGAAAAATGGCATGTGGAAATCACTTTCCCTCGTTGCCATCTCTAATTTGTAAAATGGAAACAACAAAGAGAAAAGAAAAAAAAAGCTTTCAGTTTTTTGGTTATCTGACTGCATTATATGATCAAACGGTCCAGAAGAAGCTGAAATCCGTGGGTGTGCAAATAATTACTGGCTTTGGCGGGACTTTTATTTCAAGCAGCAGAGAGCGAGAGAGAGAGAGAGGCTATAAATTAGGTTAGGGCACCAAAAAATTGAAAAATTGAAGTTTCAAAAAGTCATCTCTGTGAACATGTTGAGGGGAAGAGAAAGCTTGATCCGATTGGTGGGCAAACGCCGGCGCTTCCTTCCCCACCGTCAATCACTCCTCTCCTCCCCTACACAGGTACCCATTACTCTCCCAAATTATATATATATATATATATATTATCATTTTCTCAACAAAAAAGCATTTGTTACTTTGTTTGTTTCCAGAGCTCTATGAATCTGTGCACTGATGAAAATGGTAAAATCACTGGAAACATTGAGACTGTTGTGGGTGGAGGGGTTGCAGATGATGAGAGTGTTACTTGCCCTGTTTGCGGCCAACAAGTCAGTGGCCAAAACAACATCATCAATTCTCATCTCGGTATCTTCTTAATCCTACCATTTCCCCCTTAAATAGGGAGACACTTAGCTGGTGTGGTGACTTAATAAGTTTGTTAAGACTAAAGGATGCTTCCTATGTTGTTTTTGTAACTTCATCACCGTTATGCTTTTTTGGTTTCCCCATTTTAATGGAGCCCCAAGGAGGTGGAAGTATTCAATGCTTCTGAAATTAAATGGGATATATATTATCAGTTTGTACAGGATCCTCTAGGATATATGGTGTTTGGAGTTGGACTCTGTGGGAGGACTGTACGTGTTCTCGTAGGCTAAAAACATAACTAAAACAGCATCAAACCTTAATGAATACCATCATTCCAGTCTAACCAAATACCTGAAGAAGATAAACCCCTGAATAGTGCAGTACCTACCTGTTTTCGTTCATTTTGCTTTTAAAACAAAAAGAAAAAAGCTTAGCTGGTTTCTCATAGTATGTGATAATAACTGCTCAGCATTTTAATATTTCAGGAAATTGTATACTGCATTGTTATCTATATTCCCATTCCCTTAAGATAATTTAAAATTTTGAGTTTTTGATTTCTGCAGTAAGTAAGGTGTGTTAGATTCATACAGCCCAGTTTTCTGTAATGGGATTTCAGGAATTGTGTGATTTTGTTATCTAACATCCTTTATTTTAATGTAATGTTGTGTTTTCCATAATCTGAACTGGATACTTGTTACTTATTTTATTTTCTTGTAGATGTATGTCTATCAAGGGGAACCAAGCGGAAGATGACCCAGCGCACACTTCTAGAGTTGAACTTTTGCCCAGATTCAAAAGTTCAAGCTCGTTCCCGTGACTTGGAAGAGTTAGGAAATGAGTTATTTCATGCAGTCCATGATGACGGTAGTGTACAGAGTGTTCATGGTTTTTCTGATGACAGCCTCTGTGGTTCATCATTGAATACAATGTCTGATATGCAAAATCAGGTTAATAGTCCATCTAGAAAACCAATCAGTAAGGATAGGGTAAATGCCGCTTTTGATGCTCACTCACTGGCCCCAAAGAATGAGGTGATGGATTGTGACATGACAATCACAGAGGATGACATATGTAGGGTCATTCTTGAGACTTTTATTGTTGGCCGTAGATTTAGTGATGAAAATGAATTATATCTTGGTGCAAACATTTCTCTTTTAAGAGACCCTGACAATGTTAAAGATCCCAATGCCATTAAGGTCTGTTCCCTTTTCCTGGGCTTTTTTGTTCAGGAATTGAAATTTTACATTTTTTATTGTTTTAGCTAGTCTTTAATTTCAATTTATGAAGTTCTAACGAAGAACTAGATGGACTTTTTGGGTTAGGTTATCTCTTCTGATTCAGGATGCCCTAAAGTGCTTGGTTTTCTCCCTCGCAAGCTGGCTCAGTATTTGTCTCCTCTGATGGAGAGGTACTGCCTACAGTTTGAGGTAATTCATATCTTTAGCAAGACAAAACATAGTCCCTAAACATCTGACCAACCATCTACTTTCTTATTTTCCGCATTTACTTTTTGGTATTGCATGAATAAGGTGAAATTGCAGTGGTAGAGAATAACAAAAGGTTGATGACTATCTCATTCGTTTCTTTTGGAATTGGGAACAAATTCCCCGACACTAAGCGTGTCATATTTTTGTACATCTTCAAATATCTTCTAATTTTACGATAACATTATGTTTTCAATAAATGTCCCTCCAAAGAACCAAAAATAAAAGAATGAGCATAAAAAATTGTGAGTTGTGACCCAGTGGATAAAGCTCTGATCCTTTTTCCTGTGTGATTACTTTCAGGGACGTGTGATCTCTGTTCCAAAGCATGCTATCGATGTTGTTCCTATAGAGATCATGTCCCAGAAGACTGAACCATGTAGTGCCAAGGAATATTATAATGATGAGGCTTTCGTATTTTTGTGGAAAAATGCCCAGCAAGTAATTGAATCTACAAAGTCCTGTCCACCTAGTGCCATAAAGTATCAGGAAAACTTTTGTATTTTCATACATGAGGTTTTGAGAAACAATTCTCACCTCTTGATAGATGATGAAAAGAATTTCATGGGTATCAATCAATTGCTTGTGTTTTGATTATATTATTGTTTTCTCGAAAGTTTTTCTCACTACTGACAACTGTTATATGTATGCTGGCAGAGTTGTATACTTCATTGACGGATGATAGTCAGAGGCTATTTGTACGGCTCTATATGCGGAAAGGTTTCTTGTTTTTTAGATTAGTTTTATTCGGGTCATTGTTGTAGCTTTGCTGCTACTGTTGTATATTTGTGTGTCTTTTCATCTATTTGCCGTAAGAGATCTTGTGATTGTGGTTGAACATAAGCTAGCCTCATTATCCACAATTTGGTTTTGGGTGATATCTCTTTTGTTTTGCTGGTCATAAACACAAAATGTGCATTAATATGCTACACCACGTAGCAAATGCTGCTCAAACTTCTCTCATGGGAATAAATTATGATTCTAAAAATCGTGCCACCAGACTAAGGCTCCTCTAATCCTTTTGTCCTTCCTTCCAAGTTCCCAAGGCAAGACAAGACCAGTGTCACAACTAATACATAACTAGAATTTGATTGCCTGTAACATCTAGTCATTAACTACTGCGTTGCTTCCTACATAGATGTAACCTAATAATACTCTGTATAACCTAACATTTCAGGCAATGTGTGTTATGTTGTCTACATCTCTCATTTTTTCCATGCACTGCTCATGGCGACAGTTGAGTGGTCTGTACTATGGTGCTTAGGGTTTTATAATAAGCTTCTCTCCTGATTTCTAAATGGTTGTGTTTCTCTCTACTCTTTGAACTAACTTGCTGTGGGTCATGATTTCTATAATGGTCACCAAATATTTCTTTCTAAGATTAGTCTATGTAAAGGAAAAAACTTCATATTTTCCTTCTCTGTCCATCTTTCATTTCTAGATTGCGTTTCTTTCTGGGACATCACTTACAAAGTACATACTTGTGGAACTATATTTCAGGTCATAGTTTTGAGCTGATACATGTGAAGGAACGAGTAATTATTTAAGGGATGATTATTTTCGTGGTAATTTGAATATTGCAATGGATAACTTATTCTATATGAAGCAGCTGACCAGGAAATGTTATTATATGTACTTCTTTAGTTTTACTACATCATGCCTCCCAATGATGCCACCACATCAAGACCCATCAAGACCCTTTCAACCTTGGACACAAGCCATTCCATTTCTTTGAGCTAAGACTAAAATGGCTATAACTAGTGTAACCTGTAGATTACCCAAAATATTTTGCTAGAACCATGTTAAAGACTTAAAAATATCACCCATGTACATAATCCAAGTGAAACTAGAACATTTTCTGCCCTTTTCCTTGTTTGAAAACTGAAAAGTGATTTTTATGTTGATCTTCCTGCTCAGGGCCATGGTTTCGGCTATCTTCTATTTCATACCCAGAAGTAACGGAACCTGAACAAGCAGTTAAAGAGCTATCTGGTAATGTAGTTGTATTAGTTGGATATGCTGTATGTTTTCTTTTCAAGATACCAGATTAAGGTTGATGAAAAATTTATTTGTCATCTTGCAGCTACAGGCTATACATCTTGCTTTGGCATTACAAATGAACTATGTGATGATGAAATAAAAGAGATTCTGCAATTGCTCACTGTATCTGAACTCCGGGAAATTTTATGCATGCTTAAGCAGGTTTGCTTCTAAGATTATTCCTATAGAGATTTGTTGTGAATTGTTTGCATAAATTTCTTATAGATGCCATTTCATGGAAAGAAATCTAAGATTAGATCGAAGAGAATGAAACATGTGTGGTGTTAATTATAGTTGATCCTTCTGATCTTAAAGAAAGTATGAATACCTTGTTAAAATGTTCACCATAGCATTAAAATATTTCATTCATCACAATTGTAATATGATTAAAGGTCCTTGGCTCATGACTAAGCTACCTGTAATATGATTAAAGGTCGACATCCCTATATATGTACTCCTTGGTGGTAAAACCACATACCAAATGTGGGTTCAAGCTGGAGAGGTGTCCACTAGTTGCCTAGCAAAACAAATGTAGCCTGTAATTGTTTTGTGTCCATAAAACTTACTGAGCATGGTAATCAAGTTGGATGCAAGGACTAAGAAGGTACTGAACGATGATTATTGTATGATGGGTTTTTAAAATTTTTTTTTTTATTAGGATCAAATTATGTTTATCATTGTAATTGCTGGCCTATGCAAGATGAAAGAAAACTGGCCTTTATAGGCTCATGAATTGTTGAAAATTTAGGGTAGGGCAAGGAGGAGATTATGGGGTTTATTCAAATGGAGCTTACATTTTCCATAGTTTGAAGGATAAATAAGGGCTTGGTATGAAGAAAATAGGGTTATGAAGAAAACAGGTTGCACGATTGTTCTGGGCAGAGCTGGATAGTTTTAAAGTTGCTTCGCAGGATTATTTAGGGGTAAAGATTGTGCTGAAAGCTGTGATGCTCCAGAAAGTTAGAAGAACATGTGGACAACTGATATGGCAACCTTGCCGGGAAGTCAGTTGTAGTAAGAAAATTAGTTTGTATTTTTGCCGGAAAAGATCACTAACTGTAAAAGACAATGGTTTGAGGAAAAAAGCCAAAAGTTTTGTGAAGTGGGTGTATTTGCTGTTTTTTGAGTGGTTTGTTAGAATAAAACACAATTGGTTTAGGAGTCCATATGTGCTCTAGTGGAAAGCTTCTCCACCATGTCTGTATTTTTTAATGTTGCATATGAATAAATGTATGTTTTTTAGGAAAAAAAAAAAAACTGGTCATGTCATTGAATTTTTTCATATATTTGACAAGAATGTTGTTTGTAACACTAATCTTTTCTGGAAACCTGTAGCATGATTGGGTAATTCAACAGGTTTTGATCTTTTATTCAATTTTCATAAAAATTCTAAAATGCCTTTCCAGTTTTAGATTTTTCAACAATTCCTTACTCCAACTTCTTAACCCATAGATTGATTTCAAATTCATGAACCGTCCCCCGGATTTTTTATTTATTTATATTATTCATTCCTGTCAAAACAAAACAATTTGAGTATGAGTAAAAGGTCTTCTTTTTATTTTAGTCAATTGCAGGAGTTTCTTCGGTTTATAGACCTTTCACCTTTTTTCCTCCAATTTTAATCATTGTGTTTCATACCCAGAAAGAGGAGGATTTACAAGTTCCAATCCAAAATAATTGTTTGAAGTTCCTAGTGTCTACCAAAACATTACAGTTTTTTTTTCTTGGGGTGTATATGGAGGGAAAGGAACGATAGATATCTCTCTTCTGATTCTTTTGTGAAGTTTTCGAACAGGTTTTAGACTACAATTGTTCAGAAGTAGATCTTGTCACATCTTCTTTTGAACTTAAAGGGTAGTTTTTTTTTTTTTTCCCTGTCCTTTTTCTTTCTGTGAATAAAATTCTCGTATCAAAGGCTAACTCAGACAGTTGATAGTAAATTAAAGATAATGAAGTGTGTGCCTTATTATCATCTTTTCTTATTTTACTTAAGACAAGAGATTGGATAATAGTGTCACTGAAATTGAAGGCTCAGTTCTTGTTGAGTAATAATTTTACCTAATCTTCTTCCTAGTAGTGTGTAACCCAATATTTCTATGCATTTAATGTTCATTGTTGACGATATATGGAGCATTGCTGGTCGTTCATTCTAGATTTGGTTGTATCCCTAGTTTATGCTCCTAAAGTGATGAATTGGCTTTCGATGACTACACAGTACGAGACCTACCGTGTGGACAGATACGGGTCAAACATTTTTATCATTGTGGCGGATTAAAATTACATAAGCGTATTTGAGTGTGCGTTCACTCATGTGTTGGTATAGGATTGTGATTCTTAATATGCATCTTGAGCACTTACTTTCTTTTTCACCCTTTTTTGCTGAGGAATCCATGTTGTTGAGGTAGGCAGTGTCTTCACTTTTTATTATAGCCACATTCTATTCTCTCTTATTTTTGAAACACGTTTGTTTTTTTTTCACTTTGTTATCTGATGGGTTTTGGTACTTCTACTGAGGCTACAGAATGGCAATCGTGGCATGAGAAAGCAGGATCTTATTGCATCTCTTCTTTCTTTGTACATAGATGAGTCATGGTATTAAATATTTTTCTGTTACACATCTAATAATATGTAAACGATGTGACTTCATGAGCACATCCTAAGTTTTCTCTTCCTGTTGGTTCTCAATGTGCAGCACTTTACTGCCTAATATGGTGTTGGATCGAACAGGTGTTTGTGTTCGGATATCCTCGAAAGCGGAGTCCCTCATCTGGCGTGCTGAGGTGCTTTAATGTCTTTATATTTTATTTTCTTAGTACAGATGCTTTAATGTCTTAGAACCTTAATTCCACAGTAATGAGGAAAGTACTGGTCACACTGGAAAATTGTAATTATTTTTTGTTCTATGCAGAGACTTTTCTTCCTGAATGGAGAACAGGATTTGTCAGCATTTCTACTAGTGGATTTGGGAATAGTCAAGTATCCAACTTACAAGTGCACAGTATCACAACAAATTTTCTCAGGTCGAGATGGCTTGCTTGCTTATGAAGAGGTGTTGCTTTGTTCTATGTGAAAATAATTACCTTTGTTTCCTTTACCATATCTAATGACCTTGTCTTGCAGGCCATTGAAGTGGCACAGATAATTGATCAAGCTCTTGATGGAAGCAACAATGGAATGGTGTTGAAATGCATAAGGATAGCTGATGCTCGTATGTCTAGTGAAGTAACTCAATTCTTAACTTCTGAATCAATGGCTCCATTTCTGTCCTGCTTCTCTGCTCCGCATGTCTACTCAAAAGTGGTTTTACTAGGAATCTCCTTTCTAGAGCGTGAGCATAGGTATGGATCTTGGAATTACCGATTATTGTTTACATTTTTTTACGGCCATTGTTTAGAATACATATCCACTCCTGTGTCTAACTTTTATTTTTTATTTTACTTTTTGTTTAAAGTTAGCATCTTTCATTGACCTCATAAGCTATTTCAATACCATAGCTCACTTTGACATGTTTAAAGTATGTTTTTATATTTGGTTAACAATTGTGTATGTATTATATGGACTAGTACATAAAATTTTAGTTGTTATGAAACACTGCAAACTGTTGATGGACAAAACTGGAACTCTTCATTATAATCCTTTTCTTTTGCAGATTCTTGGAAACCAACTCTATGTTTATCACTATTATTTCTAAAACACTTGCGCTGCTTTTGTTTTTTAACAATATTTATATGATAGAATATATTTCTATGGAAATTATATTTTACTCCAAATTTGTCATTATGCACTCCTTTCGTTGCGTTAAAAATAATGAAATATTGATTATGGAGTGCAAATAACAGCTGGGAGTTGGAAGGGTAGCTCCATTTTTCTATTATGTAACTGGCATACAATCCAAATATCATATCCCAGTTCTTCATGAATTGCTATAAAAGAGAAACCAATGAGCCTAAACCCTAAGTTGTGTTAATTATCTTTGTAAGTTATCTGAGTTTCAGTATCTATACTTGTAACTGCTAAGTTTTTTGCATCACTAGCCCCATGAATATGCATGGAGAACTCGAGGGAAAGGAAAAGTCTGATGTTTTGCATGCTGAGAGAACGTATTTATTCCACTCAGGTATAGTGATGCAATATATTTACTGAAGCGGCTGCTAAAGTGCTTCACTTGTGATGGTCGAAGGGGATACTGGACACTAAGGTTATCAATTGACTTAGAGCACATGGGCTATCTGAATGAGAGCCTTTCAGTTGCCGAAAATGGGTTACTAGATCAATGGGTACGTGCTGGTTCAAGAGTGGCACTTCAAAGGAGAGTCCTTCGCTTAGGAAAACCACCAAGGCGATGGAAAACACCTAGTTTTGCAGAGTCTGTCAAGCGGAAGATTGTGGAGGTAATCACTTAATTGTGTTATATGCTTGTAAAACTCTCAAGTCAAAAGAAAGAGTTATTATATTTACATTTTAGAGTATCACTTTTTCTTCTGACTCGGTTTTTCTTACCAATAAGTTAGGTTCATGTACAAGGGAGACCTCTAAATTCCGTGATTGGTATGAAGAGCAGGTTTTATGGAGAAGATGGAGAGCAATGTGGGGTAGAGCAGCTAGCGTTGCAGCATTATGCTGGGGAGGGATGGCAGGGTGTTCATTCAGAGAGTGGCATTTGGTTGACTATTTTTGGGCTTCTTATGTGGGATATTATATTTTCTGATATACCAAATGTTTTCCGCACCAGATTTCAGGTATGTTTGACAGTATAAGTGTGCTACCAAGTTCCTGGATTTTTGAAGTTTTCTACTCAATGTGCCTTCATGCATATATGTATGCATGTATATGTATTTGAACACTTGATTTACACAATGTGCCTTCATGCATGTATGTATTGCCCTCATGCAGTTATAAGGTTATCACAAAGTTATGTGAGTGAACAGAACGAAGTTAAAAGAAGATTGAGAAAGGTCCGAACAGGGGTAGATCTGACGAAAATAGAGAGTCTAGGTGAACAAAAGAGGCAAAGTATGATAAAATTTAGTGCCTTTGTTCTTAATCAATACGACACATGTTATAGTTCCTTTTACGGTTTTACCCTCATTATACAAGCAATTCAAAGTTATAAATTACGCACAAAGATTGCTTATGGAAGTAAATTTATTTACCCATGCTTTTCGTGTCCAAAGTTTAACCTGCGCGGGTCTTTTTGTTAATACATATGGCCTTTAGTAAAAATTTGAAAATTCTATTTTGCAGATTGCTCCCTTGGATTTGCAAACTGATAGCTTTTATCTGGTGAGAAAGAGCCATATGGAATCTCACCTACAGAAAATTCATGATGGCATGGCTGAGGAGATCCTCATCACTTCATGGGAGTTACACGAAGGAACATCATGCAGAGGAGTTAATTGGGACCACCATTCCCTGTCCGAGCTTCGAGCAGCTGTTACGTGCATTGGTGGCCCTTGTTTGGCCTCATTCTGTCGACATCTAGCACAAGATTATCGCAGCTGGTCAAGTGGAATGCCAGATTTACTGCTGTGGCGCTTCCATGGGAAATACAAAGGCGAAGCCAAGCTTGTAGAAGTTAAAGGCCCCAGGGATAGACTCTCTGAACAGCAGCGAGCATGGCTGCTGCTTTTAATGGACTGTGGGTTCAACGCTGAGGTCTGTAAAGTGAACCCTGTCTTGTGAAGTTAATATGCTGCTTTGATCTTTGATTGGAAGCATGTAATCATGACTATGAAGATTTGGTGTTCGATTGGAAGCATGTAATGAGGACTTGCATGAAAGACCAACCGGAAATAATTTTCAAGGATTTGGAATGCAGGAGTTTATCGGTCAATCACCAGAGTAATTATGGGACAATGTTAGGAGTAGAAGAGCCCAATGCAGCATGGAAAGAAGTTGATTATGATTGTTAAGTAGGTCCCAGTTGATCTTTCTCAGGTGGGATAGACGCTTTTTCCTGCAGATATGGAAATGATGGTCATTGCGCGAGTTGTTGGATGACATTAGAAGTTATGTCCCCAGGCACGTATGCTACTCCATTTACTTGGACTTATTTTTAGAAAACGGCCATTTATCAATTTTATGAGACATTTCTGGAGATAATTTTCCCGGAAAGTGGAGGAATGGTTCACAATGTTGTTGCATTCATTATTGAGAAGCAGGCAGCAGGTGAAATACTTGTATGTGACTCTCCTTTGGCAGTGGTTTGGTGAAGATATGAGCCACTTAATCTTCTGTTTTGCAGTAGAGGAGTTGAACCACATCTTTCTACGATGCATCTCTAATAAAGTGGTATTTCCTCTTGATATCTCGTACTGTGATGAAAGAATGGATTCTTTGTCATTGCAATCGCTAACATATTATCACACATCAACGGTGTTACTTTTATACAAAACAATTTTAAGAACACATGGACAAACTTAAATTATGTTAAGAATTCCAATCCTTGGATTTCATGAGGATCAATTCATTGTTGAAGCTCTTGGGTGTTAGCCCTTTACTAGTATCCACACGAATGAACTCTAGGTTGGTGAAGTAGGAAGACAATGAATTGCTTGGTCCTTCGCCAGGTAGGTGCGGCAAGGGGTTTAGCATTTCAATTTCTCTAAATTGAAAAACCTAATTCCCTTCTCTCAATTTTTGGTTTCACGGTATGTAAAATCAACTCTAGGTCCAAAGTCCCTTAGGCATGTGTATAGAACAATTCCGTAAACTAGTAGGGTTACATTTAATACTCTACTATATGTGTGTTACATGCCCTAGAAAGCGCTTCATTTGCGCTTGTAGCACACTCCCTTTGTCATTGGGCCTTAGCCCAATTTGTTCTAATTTTATTTATTTAATTAATCCCGTCTTTCCTTTCAGACTAAACTTCTTTGTTTATTTTAGTTCAAATAACTTATAATAAATATAATGCACAAACCCATTAATCGAATATAAAATGAAAAAGCAGTTAATATTAACAATTTATTTTAAATTCAACCTTCAATAATTTTACCCTTCGATATCATTTTATTGTGTGTGACCTTCTAGGTTTCAATTAAAGCTAGTAGTGGATAATTTGATTGATCAAATTTCTAATTTTTCATAGTTAGAAACTATTCTAATTCAACCTGGTAGAAATATTCAAAATCGACTAGTAATGTCTAACAATAGCTTTCAACTACCCAGATTAGTTAGAATATGTTTGAATTCATACTAGACATATTTGGAACCTTAGTTACGGTTACAATGCAATTCGTCTCCTATGTCTACTATTTCTGACCATATATTTGAGAGCATGGAACATTTGTTAAACTCTAACAATGAATAGGATTGCTCTGATATATCTCTTGTACATTGTACGTTGCTTTGGTTAAAGACTTCTGGTTCCTTGTGCATTCACGTATCTCCACATTGATGCACATGGTCTCGAACCTTACCTTACACTATAAAGCTCCATTATTGTTTGAGAGCTTCACGACATGTGACCAAAGATCAAATTCATTAAAACGAGATAACCAGTGACACCTCAGGTCTAAGAACCAGTTGCATCCATAACTCAGAAGTGTGGTATGATTGACAAATAATATTCCATTCATACACTGCTATGGTTGGTCAATGTTCAATGAACTTTCTCTCATAGACGAGAACCCTTGTCTATTCCATGTCACTACATGCTTAGTCTGAGATTTACTGCTTAATACAAACCGAACTTTGTAGACGTTCGGTAGTCCTTTAGATCATTCTATGGCAAAGAACATAATTTAGGACTTAAGATTCGTAGGATATGTATCTCAGAACTGGAACATTGATGCTTACGAGACCTTAATTTAATTTAGGAACTAAGATCCCTACTTCGAATGGGTTTCCTCCCTGCTTGTAATGTGAAACCTCGACGCAGCTCGCAACTTTCTGTGAATATGAGATCGCACTTTGTCTCGGGACATGTATCAAAGAAATGAAGAAAATCTCAAAAGATGCTCATAAGACCTTAATTTAATATAATGTCGCTTCTTTTGATAGCAATGTTGAAGATGGATTGATGTTAAATTGAATTAGAAGGAACAACGAAGTTTAAAATAAAAAAGCAGCACCGAACCAACTCAGTTGGACTGCCCTAGTCCTCACCAGGTGACTCGCTAGCAACCTGCAGCATGACCCACTCTAGATGATTTGCACGCCTGACCTATGCACCTGCTCCAGGTGACCTGTGCGTTCGTTCTAGGTCACCTTCCCGCTTTGTGTGTCCCTTGCAATAACATCTGGCCAGGTCCGTTGGGCATGCTAACGATACAGCTGAGCAGCCACTTGTTGCAAGTTTTTTGGAGCAGCCCAGCGACATCACCTTGTGTGCATCCAATTCGAGGAAACTGGGGGTAGGCCCAGTTGTCCCATTACGTGCAATGAGGAGAAGGGAGGAAGAAATGAAAATTTCAAACCAAGAATTTTTATCTGTGAATTCTCTACGCAAATCCTAAATGTTAGGAATTTATGAGAATTCAAGAAAAGGTTATCTCCTATTTATACTAAATCCTTGTGGGGAAACAAAAAAGAAACATTTCCTACTAAGACTTGAAGACCTACCTATCTTGGAAGAAAAGTCATATGCTAGTAGGAAGTATATCTCCTTTTATTTGCTACTTTATCGCAAGCAAATGTGGGGGCACATGTGGAGATATAATTAACTACATCTAATAGGAGAAGAACATATAGACTATATGCTCAGTATGACAGTTTTACCGTTAACATCGTGTGCAGACCATCGATTACCCCAATGAAATGTGATATATATTTGTCCCATAGGTTATAGACCTTTGGGCCATTGACGTATCAAAGGTGCTTCAGGCTCATGATCTGTCCTACCACTTGTTGGAAATGTACCCTAAAGCCAATCATATGATGATACTTTACAGACATTTCACATGTTAATCTAATCTAGCTTAATATAAAGGGCAAAGATTATTGTTTAAAGCCGTCTCATATAAACGTTATATGCTTAAACGATAAGTCCAAGGAATATGTAATTGAGAGAATGTGATCTAAAGAAGTTAGATACATGAGATCATTCTTTTTCGTATACATATCATAAACGTTCCTGATCATAGGATTGCCGATTGGGCATTGACAGTCTGTTAAGATCAGTACATGCTATGCCTTCTCTTAAGAAGAGTGACTGGTTTTGAGTCATTGGTGTGACTGAGACCAGGACAAGCATGTAGGTGTTCAATAGAGAATGAGTCCACCGAACGCGATCAACAAGGAGTTCTCATACTCATGTCACATGAGAACTCATAGTTGGGATAATGCAAAGTAGTCCTTTGACTTGAGGCATCATAGTTGACTTGTGGTTAGGTCCTTGATCTTTGACTATGTCAAAGTCACTCCATTAGAGGGTGTCCATGGCATAGTTGGGGTTAAGCCACTTAGCCATGGAGGCAAGTGAATGCGCAACAAGGGATCTCTAACCTTCAAACCGTTTGAGGGAGAATATTTTATGATATGATTAAGAATCGTTGGCCAGAGCATGAACGAGATTTAGGAAGTCGTTCCAAATCACATTCAAGGTAATCATATAAGTAAATGAATCACATTGGATAGTAGAGATGAATAAACTATTAAACCAAACAATGTGGTCAAGAGTATTGTATTAGAGAAAGACCGTATTGCATTGTAATCCTAAACTGAATAGGCTTTCCACCTCCTCTGATTAGCTTGTGTAGCCATGATATACTATTAGGTGTCACTCATGGTTTGTGGAAGCTCTAAAGGTGTATAATCACTAAAGGGGGAATTGAAAGCATGTTTCAATTCACAATTGATTTGAAGAGTTCTAATCGCCCACTACCTTGCTAAAAGGAACCTAATGGATCATACACCGTGTCAGGTAGAGATTGAAGAACCAATGGAGATGAGTAAGGATAATTAAATGGTCAAATTATTTATGGCTATGATTAATTAATATGTTAATTAATCAAACAAATAAGTTTGTTGTAGACCTTGGGTTAATTTTGGGCCGCAAGGCCTAATGGGATTTGAATGTTAAGCCCATTAACTCAAGTTGTATGACAACTTGAAAACACAAGGGGCTTGAAAGCCCAATGAATCCTTAAGGCCGGCCACATTATAGGATGAAGGGTTTTGGTTCTTTTGTCACTTAATTGAAGGGACTATATAAAGAACTTTATAACATTTCATCATTAGGGTTTCTTTTGGAGAAAAGATGAGAACACAAAGCTCTCTTTTCTCTCTAAGAGGCCGGCAACCCTAGAGGAAATTTGCTAGCAATCTTACTTCCTCTAGGTCACTCATCTCTTCATCAATGCTCTCCTTGGTGTGGAGACTTAGAGGTTCTCTATTTTGGGAACTTGGAGAATCTATTCTACCATCCTCATCCAAGAAATCCATGGAGCTAAGAAGTAAGGAATGAAGGCCCTATCTCTTGGGTGATTAGCCTTTGCTTATGCAAAGAAGAATCAACAAAGGTATAATATTTCTCAACTCACTTTGTTCTTGAGTTGAGTCTTGGTTCACCACACTCACTAGGCCTCGAATTTCATGGGTAAAGTTTTGTTTTTGAGTGCATACAAGCATGATTCCACCTTTTAGTAGTTAATTGTATGCATAGAAGTTGCTCAAATGAACTAGTTTTCACAAATATTTCCTTCAATTGGTATCAAGAGCCTAGGTCTAGTAGTTGGTGAATCTTTTTGGGTTTTGTATTTTCATAGTTTATGATTTGGCTGTTGTAATTGTTACAAGCTTTATTCTTACTTTTTTGAATGTAAATTTTGTTAGAAAATTTGTCATCTCAAATGCTGCAGATGTATTCATATGAGCATGAATTTTGGAGCTAAAATTTGGTGTCATGTTTATGAGGAAATTCGGTCAAATCCAAAGGGTGGATTTTTGGGTTCATGTTTGTCTTGTTAAAAGTGTTTTGAAGTCACATTAGGAACCCCTAAGTACCCTAGGATGTTAACCCTCTTTTGAGTAAGTGAAAATTTGAGTTTTATTGAGTGAAAACATTCATGGAGCTCCTATGGGTTTTCATGGATGTTCTTCAATGTTCTTGCTTTGTTCATAACCAAGAACATAAAGTTTTGGGTGTTTTGATTCAAAGTTTTTGGTTGTTTACATAAAGTCTTGTTTTTGTAATGGTTGGTGGGACTTTTCTATCAACAAGACATTTTTTTTGAAAAGGTGATTGAAAAGTTGAAAGTGTGTTTGAAATTTTGTATATGATCGGTACTTTTCTTACACACCCATACCTATATTTTTCAACATAATTGAATTTGTATTTTCATAAAAAACCAACCCATCACTC